ACCACATATATATATATAACACACACACACACACACACACACACACACATATATATATATATTTAAATATAAATATATATTCATTACCAACCTTAACCCTGCACACCCATACCCGACAGGTAAAACCCGACCTTGACTGGCGCGACGTAGTCAAAGGATTCGATCAGCCAGGGGTCGACTTCCCGAACGAACAATCCGTTGAGTTTGTGGTGCGATTGTACCGTTATGCTACTAACGGGCACAATCTGCCGGTAGAAACACTGGTGTCTCCGTGGTTCAATAATGTACCAGGGCAGATTGCCTTCTTGAGGCTGGTGGTGAGCAACCAGAATCACTGTGGAGTCAGTTTGCACTCTGAGAATTCGCGGTATATATCGGATGAAGGGCTGATGTCACCCATATCTGAGGTAAGTTGTGTATAGCACAACAATTTAACCGGTTTTGTGTGTGGGGACCCTGTGTGTGTGGGGGAGGGGGTTGTCCGAGTGCTGTGACTCTGTCGGATGCGGTCTTCGCCGTGGTTTGCGTTTTATTTATTTATGCTCACCTTTCGAGGTCTCTGTCGCCCTTGGATCTGCGTCAGCTTCCACCCCCGTCCTCGCAGTTTGCCATAGATCTCACCACTTCTCACCACTTGCCCACTACAGGGCCCCAACCGAGTGTGGGCGAATGTAGAGGTCATGGAGTGTCTCTTGGCGCTGGCGCACAGCGGGTACTACAACGACGTGAAGGAGTTGTTCTCCATCCCGCTGAAGCAGTGTCCGGATGTGCTAATCTTTGCATTGGTCGAAGCTTACCCCGAGTGGGATACCATGCAGCTTGACATGTGCCTGCGCCTGCTGCCAGTCATCCTGGCCAATTTCCCGCAGACTGAAACGTATGTGGTTGGTGGTCATGACGTAGTGTGGATCTGCGCTTGAGCGTGTGGGTAGTTTTAAGATCGTACGTATCTGTGCTAATATGTTACTTGTGTATCTATGCATATTATAAGATGGCGTGGTATCATATGCGTGCGTGTGGAAAGCGTACGCCGGTCGACAGTATATGATAGATTTTTCTTTTCCAACGGTGCAAGTCGCCACTTTGTTCAACTAGCTGTACATGTGCAATCATTACTGATTTTGTCACCAGCATTTAGCGCATCAAAACGCCTACATTTACGATTCAAAAACAGCCTCCATGGGTCAAATCCTGTCCATCTATTCAAAAACTCACCCGTAACCAACTTTACGCGTTTCTAGTCTCGTGCTGCGCCTGTGGAAACTGCGGGAGGACATGGTGCTGTCGGCGATCGCTGATTGGTACAGACGGGAGCCCAATTTCATTGGGCGTATTGTGGACATTGGCAACCACTTGCGTGCGTTACCAACTATCCTCGACGCTCTGCCACCGCGGGTGGCTGTGGATGTGGGACTGAAGGCATTGGGCGCGACTCATTTGCAGACGTGGATATCCGAGAGGTTAAAGTAGGTTGACGTTTGGAAGTTGTGTGCATATCTGGTTTTTATAGAAAATACCACTGCGCATACTGTTCAAAGAATA